TTGCCTCCATTTGCTGTTGTCAAGTGTGTTAGTGTGTGTGTACGTGAGTGTGTACGTGTACGTGTGTGTGTGTGCAGACCATGTGTGCATATAAATTAGCTTATTTAAGGGCGAGCTCCTTGAGAAGCCAGGCGTCGATTGATTGCTGTTAAGCGTCGCGTCTCGGCAGCTTCCACAAAAGGAGTCTCACACACACACGCATTCACACACACACACACACACACACACACACGCACGCACACACGCAAGTCAAGGGTCGAAGATGCCTGCAAATGCAGGCAAGTCAAGACTCTCGAGAGTCGCCTGCTCATATCCTTGCACATGCTCCTTTATCTAGTGCTAGCTATTTATAGGGACATTTCTTGTTGAAAGTAGCGCCAATTATGGGGCCTATTTCATGGCCATCTACGCATTACAATGCTGTTAGGATTCCATTTACTGGCCAGCTGAGCGCCTAATCAGCACAGAGAGAGGGCTACTTTATCCTTTTTTACCCTTTTTTGCCTGCATTCAAATTGTCGTCAGCATTTTGCTTAGTTAGTATATTAGTTGCGATAAGCGTTGGGCTAATTGCATATGCCATTATGGCCATGTTGTTGGCTTTGACCAAAAATATCCATTAAAGCGTTCGTGTTTATAAATACAATAGAAATACACAAAAGCTGATTTTGATCGACAGACAGCTCTATAAAAAGAAATTAAGCAAGCGCAGAGCGTGTTTAACTAACAAATACTTTGCCTCTATTTCTGAACAATATAAATAATAACAGTTTGTACAATAAAAATGGAAATCTTATGCTAGCATTTATTTCAACCTCTGCTTTCTGTCTACGCATAAAGCCCAGCTCACAGTTAATAGACTGTCTCATAACTATTGCATGTTGCTGGCCAACATTTTGACCCTTTTGCCTAAGAATAATGTTGCCAAACTGTGAAGAAACAGCCAAATTCGGTTGAGTTTTTGTCAAGTTATGGGAGTGGGAAATTTCGACCTATGTCTATATAAGAAAATAGCTGGTATACCCCGAGCTTGTACGTGGCACGTTTAAAATCAATTCTCGCAAAGATCTTTGAAAATGAGTTTCAAACCGCTTGAATGGTAAACAAAACAACTTTCATATAAACGTGCCAGTTTCGCGTTTTTTCCACACATGCGAGTGGAATTCCCCGAAACCGCGACACATAAGGTAACTACAGTTTCTAAGCTATTCAGTCAGTCAGTCAGTCAGTCATTAAGTCCATCAATCAGTCAGTCAGTCACTCAGTCAGTCAATCAATTAGTCAATCAGTCAGTCAGGATAAACTGTGTTATATAGATAGAGATGAAACCCACATAAAACTGTTGCTTAGTGAACTCGAGAACCAAAGACCCGTCAATATATATTCCCTTTTCACTCTGATTATTAGTAACACACGGACAGAGACATTTTAACAAGTTTTTCCCATTGTTCTTTCCGCTTTCACTTGCTTATCACAGTGTGTGCACACTTACGTGACCTACTGTATATGTATGCAAGTATTTACCGAGGGATCTACTCCTCCTTCCCGTATAAGGTTGAGATTAAGCCACCTTTTTAGTGCTCCATTAGACATAATCTCTGTGCATTACGAGCGCAATACGCTATTTTCTATTTCTGTTGTTGTTGCTTATATTTCTGTTGTTGTTGCTCTCACGTTCACAGTGCGCACGAAAAGTATGCACTGCTGTTTTTTATGCCAGCTGCATGTTTGTAAAAGCAGCTGAGCAAGAGAGAGAGAGAGAGAGAGCAAGAGAGAGGGAGGGAGACAGAAAGCGAGCGAGTGAATTAGCATTATGGGCAGCCAAAAAGCCAGTGTTATAAAACACCACAAAATGACCATAAAATAATAATAATAATAATAATAATGAAATCAGCAAAAGCAAAACAAACGACGTGGCCCATTGGCTCATAAAGTAAACAAATTGAAGCCAACAGTCAAGTGGAAGGAGGGGTAAAGCTTTGGCAGGATATAGCAGGATATGGAACACACACATACAAAGACAAATCCACAAAGTAAATTGTATACGTTTTTCACACCTTCTGCTCGACCCAACAGTTTATTATTGTGTGTGTATGTGTGTGCACCAAGCACCATAAATTAGCCATAAAATGCTGCGAAAAAAAATAGAATAGAATCCCACTTGTCGCAGCACTTTAGTTGACTTTGCTAAAAATAAACCATGTGGCGAGAGTGCCCCTAATGCCTGCTAAAGCCAATTTGTGCTATTTGTGAAGGGGACCTATTCCATTTGCTAGAATTTGCCAAGAACTAGGGATATGCTTGTACACATAATCAGCGAGTGGGTTTACGAATCCAATTCAAGATATTTTTAGTTTAAATCGATTGAATTTCCTTTGTTGCTAAGCAAAAGGGGAAATGCTTGTGGATATGATTACGGAAAGCATAAAGCACATTAGGGAGAGAGAGAGAGAGACAGAGAGAGAGAGAGAGAGAGACAGAGAAAGAGAGAGAGAGAGAGAGAGAGAGAGGGAGAGAGAGAGAGTGAGAGAGAGTGAGAGAGAGAGAGAGTGAAAGAGAGAGGGAGAGAGGGAGAGATAGAGAGTGAGAGAGAGAATGAAAGAGAGTGAGAGAGAGAGAGAGAGAGAGAGAGAGAGAGGGAGAGAGAGAGAGGGAGAGACATTAAATTATGAATATTAAGCGCTTAAAGCCAAATTAGAATACACAATTCTGGATGAAGGTCAGCTATGCCCCTTTTCATAGCTAAGAAGAAAGGTGTTAGTTGAGAAAATAGTAAAAATAATCTTAATTTACGATATTGTTTAAGGCAATACAATAAATAGGAAAAAACAAAGAACTAAAGTAAAGAAATGTATACTAGATATATACAGAGTAGATAGGATAAAGAGATGGAGATAATTTTCATAATTTGATGTATTAGATACTGAGGAAGACATTCGTTGTCGAATAAATAAATAAGACTATAAAAACAATAAATGGGAAATAATATAGCCTGTCATACTACTCTCACAGCTGGGAATGGTATTCCAGGTATTTGCAAACACTTTGTTTCTCTTTCACAACTTTAACTTAACTTTGCGAATTGTACGTGTCACTTTCTCCACATCATTTTCCAGCTGTTTTCTCAGTTAACCTTATTTCAGTCAACTTATTGGAGCAGAAGACAATTTGAACTCGTACTAACTTTAAATCGCAGCTAGCCCAACCAGATGACAAACTCAGGCGTTGCATCTTGCATCGGCTAATGGCCATGTTGCAACATTTTGTTAATGAACTTGCAGCAGCCACGGGGCAAATGCAATTATGAGCCAGAGCCAGGAACACTTTGAGTAGTGTGCAACAGATTGCCGAAATTTGAATACCCTACAAAATCTTCAAGCACTTCAGGAAGCGAAAAAAGTAATTATAATGTTAGCTTCAATTACACAAACAATTTTGAGCATCAAGCACATTTTCAATATTTTTCAATTGACCCGTGCGACGCCTGGTAATTTCTTCTAGTAATATATGTAGAAAATAGTTGTATACCCTTTATGGGCATGGGTAAACGTTTTTAAAGTTTGTGCATGACACTCATGTGACGCCCGGGAATTCTAAATTGTGAGGCGTGGCGGGAGGATTGGCGCACGCCTTTCAAATACGACACGACAATGTCTACTAATTGAGCACAGTTCAGAGCGCGGGCGCGTGCCGCCTTTTGCACCTGCACACGCACTTGCAACCCCACCTGCACCCGCACCTGTGCCTGAGCCTGAACCTGAGCCTCGGTCTGTGCCTCTGTCTGTGCCTTGTTCTGTGCCTCGGTTTGTGCCTGTGCACCTGCCATTAACACTGACACGCAACACCACATGCTTCATGCTGGATGCTTTTGCTAGTTGTTGTTCTTGTTCTTCTTCGTGTTCTTAGTTCTCGCCTTGGCTCCGGCTGTTGCATACACTCTTCCATTTCGAGATGCCTTTTGTTGCTTATTAGAGGAGAATGTCTCTGCCGCATGAACGCATAAATTAAATGAGCTCGTCTGGTTGTTGTTGTTGTTGTTTCTGTTGTTGTTGTTGCTGCTGCTTCAGTAAATCGCTGGGCATGGCCGTTCGCCCCTTTGCACTGGCAGCAAATGTCGTTTCAGATAAAATTACGTATACGTAGGCGCACAGCAGGATAACAATCACATGTGTGTGCATGTGTGTGTATGTGTGTGTGTGAGTGTGTGGGCGGGTGTAAAAAGTTTTTGGCTGTTTGAGCTTCGGTGTAGCATTTGGCTTCAATTTGTCGTCGTCTGTTTCATGCTCACATTTTGTGATAAAATATATATAAAAATATAAATTCCCTTTTCGGAATTCACGTTTGCCTGTGCGTGTTTGTGTGTCTGTGTGTGTATGTGTGTGTGTAGACGTGCTTCAAAAAAGATTATTTCCGAATTATGTTTGGATACCCGGCACAAAAGAAAACCCAATTACAGTAAGTGAAAAATGGAAAGGAATGCTGTAAAATAGACCCTTGCTTTGGCTTGCCGAACAACATTTGAGAATAAATTAAAATTTCAATCAAAATTCCAACTGGCCTAATTGTATCGGGCTGGATCAATCAAAACATTTGTTGCTCGGCTCTCTATTTGTGAAAATATCCTGTTATCGAAATGGTTAGAGACTTGTATATAGACTCTCAAGCAGAGAGTTGAAAGATAGCTTGGCGAGAAATATAGGAATCCTGGGCGATATCATCAGCAAAACAGAGCTTTTTCTTAGATTTCCCTGCGAACAGAAGCCTCCAGCCCAATAAGCAGCATATTGCTGGCAATATGAGTGTACCAAGCTTTAGAAGATAGTTGGAAGATTATTTGACAACTAATTTATGCGGTGGATAATAACTTGAGGACATAGTATGTGAATATATATAACAATATATAATGTGTATTACGAATTCGGACTAAAATTGGACTACATAAAGTCTGTCAGTATTTCTCTTGCCATGTTGTCAACGTAAGTTCAGCTAGAAAATTATTTATTTGTATATTTCCCCACACGAAAATCCAACACGTTAAGCACACAATTGTAAATTTATACACAAATTTATATTTGAGATAGAATAGACTGCAGAATGCTTACGCAGTTTTTGCCACAGAAAGGTTTGCTGCTGCTGCGGCGCTGGCAGCTGGGCAACTCGCCGCTCTTGCAGCCAAATAAGGATTACGCCGAGATGAGGAAAATCAGCCAGGATGTCGGCATGCTGAGTAAGAACAAGGCAGCAGCGACACCGGCGCCGGCCAAGGCTTGTGAGCAAAAGGCGCCGGTACCGCCGCCCGCGGGGATGTTGTCCAATACGAAAACGGATTTTGGTCCGCTCACCGATTGCGATCGCATCTTCCAGAATCTGTACGGCCGGCTCGATTGGCGGCTGAAGGGCGCTTGCGCGCGCGGCGACTGGTATCGCACCGCCGATCTGCTGGAGATGGGCCCACAGTGGATCATGGACGAGGTGAAGCGCAGCGGGCTGCGGGGACGCGGCGGCAGCGGCTACTATGCGGGCAGCAAATGGGAGCAGCTGCAAAAGGTGGAATCCAAGGACAAGATACTCATACTCAATTGCGCCGAGGGTGAGCCGGGCACGTGCAAGGATCGGGAAATCCTGCGCCACGAGCCGCACAAAATTATCGAGGGATGCCTGCTGGCCGGCTTTGCCATGGGCTGCGAAAAGTGCATCATCTATGTGCGGAATCGTTTCTACAACGAGGCCTGCAATCTGCAGTTCGCCCTGGCCGAGGCCTATCGCTACGGCCTGATTGGCTGCAACTCCTGCGACACGGGCATCAAATTTGAGATACACGTGCAGCGCGGCGATCGTTATCTAACGGGCGAGGAGACGGCCCTGGTGAATTGCCTGATGGGCAAGCTGGCACGTCCGCGCAAGCGTCCGCCCTATCTGCACGAGAAGGGCTACTTCGATCATCCCTCCACGGTCATCAATACGGAGTCCCTGGCCGTGGTGCCGACCATCCTGCGACGCGGCGCCAAGTGGTTCACCAGTCTGGGACGCAACATGAATTTCGGCACCAAACTGTTCAACATCAGCGGCCATGTGCTGCATCCCTGCACCGTGGAGGAGGAGATGTCCATGCCGTTGCGCGACATTATTGAGATGCATGCCGGCGGCGTTTGTGGCGGTTGGAATAACTTGTTGGCCGTCTGGCCGGGCGGACTGTCCACCCCGCTGCTTGGCCGAGCGGCCGCCGAGGAGGTGCTCATGGACTACGACGCCCTGGAGGCGAAGGGCAGCGAACTGGGCACCGGCGGCATCATAGTCGTCTGCAACGATTGCGACCCGCTGCTCGTCATGCAGCACACCATCGAGTTCTACATGAAGCAGACGTGCAAACAGTGTACACCGTGCCGCGATGGCGCCATCTGGCTGCCCGAGATCTTCAAGAACTTCACCCGAGGCGAGTCTGTGCCGCACATGATGGACTTTATCGAGGTCATCAGCAAGACCATGACCGGCACGACCATCTGTGCCCTGTCCGACAGCCAGGCGAATGTGGCCCGCGGACTCATCCAGCACTTTGCGCCCTACATCGAGGAGCGCATCCTCGAATATATCAACGATGATGGTTCAAGTTAAAACGGCAGCCGTGCATGTATCGTTTGTTGTTTGCCTAATAAATTGATTTTCCAATTGCATATCGATTGCGCCTTCACACCTGTTTGCTGCACATCCTTGGCCGGATTTTATTGAACTTCCTTTTGGCATTTGAGTGGGACACGTGGTCTTCCGCTCTAGCCATGTCCGGATGTCCTTACAAAATCAATGTGTCGCAAATAAACATGATTGCCAAATGGGCTGCAGCTCCTGCCACGTCCTTGTCACGTCCTTACCTGTTGCCACAGACTTACAGCGTGTTGCTGGCCAATGAATGCCATTATCGCTGGGAGCTGGGCGCTGGCATAGGCAAACAAGAGCCGATTGTAGGATATCCTGTTCCTGCTAGAGTATGACTGTGCCGTGAACAAAAGCTTTAAAGGCCAGAAGAGGCAGGAAGAGATCTGTCAAATCTCATGAATGAAAGGTTAAAGGGTTTAGAGCCTAGTATTTATAAAAGTATCAGATTTCATATCCTGTTCCTGCTAGACTTTGCCGTGTAGAGAACACAAATTTAAAAACCAGAAGAGGAAGCTGCTTTGCTTTTAATCTCATAACTAAAAGGTTCCAGCTTAGAGCCTAGTATAAGGTCAGATTATTTGACCTCATCGGAGCATCAATATTTTATATCCCCAATACGATCGATAATATTGATCATGCACTCAATTATCAGGGAATTATTAGCAAATCAACAGCTCAATCGAAACTTCTAGAGCTGCATGGACTAGGCTCTGAGACTGTGAAGTTATTTTTGCCAAGGAGCTTAAAGGATACTCGTTTAGAGGCCTGCACACATAACACACACATTAATATAATCGATAGTAGATAGTTTTTAGCGCACATGCATGCCCCTTTTAGTGCACTTCCTGCACAGGATATTGAACAGGATGTGGGGTCAAAGAGAGGGGGAGAGTGGGTGAGAGCAAATCAGAAATTGATGTGAGAGAGTGCGAGTGTGGAAATTGCAAAGGACACTTTGTTGACATAAACAAACACCAAAGTATTTGTCTGCGCTTGAATGATTGCAACAACACACAGCGTGTGTGCCTGTGAGCCTGTGTGTGTGTGTGTGGGAGTGTGCCTTGTGGGTCACTGTGTATCCTTTGGCCTTTTTAGCCAGCTTCCTTTTGCCAATAATCATGTTTCGGCAGCCGTACACACGGCATAGATTTAAGTATCTGTTGTTTGCCTTTACTAATTTGCTGCTAAGCGGTTTTCGACAAAAAAATACCATAGACTGGGTGTGTGATTTGTTGTGTGGCACTTGGTGCGGCTCATTTTTCACTTGAGCTAGTTGCTGCTTGAGTCTTATCTCAATTAGGAATTCATTCATTTCAACAGCTGAGCACAGCCCCTGACAGTTGATGACATCCATATCGTTGAGCGCCCGTCCTGTCTTGTCCTGGCCGTCTTCTGTTTCCTGCCTCCCGTCTCCTGCCTGCTGTCACTTGTGCCAAAGGAAATCTGTTAAAAATGAACGTGACGTAAATGCAGCCCTGTCTGTCATATACTCCTACACTCGAGGAAAATACGTTGTCATGGTGTGAGATCTTCTAATTTGGAGTAAGGTTTTCCTCTGAGTGTATAATTATGCCAAGTACTTTTTTAAAATTAAGATTGATTACTTTTCTCAAAGAATATTCAAGCAGGAAGATTTTCTAATAAACGAGCCAGAGTTTTTCTCTGAGTGCATACATACATTTCACACCTCTTTGCAGTCCTGCCTTGAATGATTACGCCAACTACTCAACGACAGGCGTCTAGTGCGCCAAAGCCTGCAACACTGCATTGCAAATTACCAATGAAAACCACGAGAAGCTCTCTCTTTTTTAAAGCTGCCTTCGAGTGCGTCGGCTTTGCACGGTTCGCCGAGGGCGCTTTTGTTGCTTTGATGCGGTATTTGAGGAGCAGCTTGTTGAATGATGTGTCGCTTTTGAGCGTTGAGTTGAGCGAATTTGAATAATAGAATAGCTATATAATAGATTTTACTTTCATGTTTACATATTGTGGAGTACTCTTGTGGTCTCTAAACATTCCACGAGTTTCCTCTTTGAGTAAGTGTAAGCGCGTGTTGGGTTTTTTAACAAGAATCATTTGGCAGGATAACAAACCACATATGCCAAGCACTTTCGCTAATTAAGAAGGCTAACCCTCTCTTTCTCTCTCCTCTTTAGCTAAGCTTTCATAGCTGTTGTCTGTATATTTTACTCTGTCTCTCGCTTGTAAATGTCGCCCCTCTCTGCGATTTTCAAAACATTTATGTAAGTGCCAGCTGTAATGTTTCTTCAATGCTGAGTTAACATCAACTGCATTTAATCGCAAATATTTTATATTATTAGTATTATAATAAGCTGTACTCTATACTCCACCCTGACTTTAATATCCCCTCATCTGAAAGTTCGCTCAAGTCTTGAGTTGCAACTGCTTCAAACAAAATGTAGCATACTTTGCAGCGCAGCGCTGCCACTAAGCTCGGAATTTGCTTAAAGCCCGTAAAGCGTTAAGCACATTTGCTGACTGGGCTTTGGGGCTCTCTCACATCGCCGGGCACCCAATTGCTTATTAAAGTCAAATTAGAACTTTGAGCAATCATTAGAGTAGGAAAACTCCCCCTACCAAGAAAAAAAGAAGAGAGGCAACAAAAAAAAAACAGGCAACGAACGAAAATTTAGTTACCCAAATAACGTCGCGTACGTGTCGGCACAATATTAAAATGTCTTTTGTTCCTGCATAATATTTAATGGGGCGTTATCTCAATTTCTGTGCGTAACTGACTGCACAAAAGTTAATCACATACGTCCTCCCCCCCTACCCCCTCCCCGGCCGTTCTGGGACATATTTAAGTATTGATTTTGGCCAGATACGTCTGTCAGCAGGAGTGCGTACTCGTACGCGCACTTGTTATCCTTGACTCGCATGGCCAGCCAGGATTATAATACGCACATAATCTCAAATGAAGGCAAATGTCTTGAATTCCGCAAATTAAGCCAGCAGCAGCAACAACAACTATATGGCGAGAAAAGCTGGCATTTTCTTTGACTTTCAATATATCCTATACAAAGGCTAGCTGCGGGAGTTATAATCCACAATTAAAATGTTTAGAAATAAATGCAAACATTTGGCAAAAATACATTAGACTGTGCTTGAATCTTAGATAAATGTATATATGTATATAATTAAGAAAATATTTAAATATTTATTTGACAGCATTTCATATACATTTGTTTAAAATATAGCTTATTGTTATAATGTTTTTGTTCTAGAAAACTTTATTTTGCATTCTGGACAAGCTCTGAGATAGTTCTGAAGTATTTTAAAAAACTCTAAAGACTATTTAATATACTTAATTTATTTTTCAATACTTATATTCATTGGGAGTCAATTTTTACTTTTAATAATTAGAAGAAGCTCAAAGTTATTTGAAATCTATCCAATTTTCAATTTGTAGGGCATTTCGGAGTCAGGCAATCAATTATTTTGCGAGTTATTTTTCACAGAAGTTAGAGAAGTGAAATGTTTTTCAACTATTTTAAAAACCTCTTAAGATTATTATTTAATTTTTTTTTTATTATTTAAAGAAGTGTATATAGTTCTGAACCATTTTAAAAACCTCTTAAGATTTGTATTCAATTAATTTATTAGTTTCTTACATTTAATACAAGTCAGTTTTGATTTTGATAATTGTATGAATTACATAGTTTGTTTAAATGTCTCCATTTACTTATTTGTAGGGCATTTCGGCATCAATCAGTTATATTACTTCACTTTTCCACTTGTTTCTTAAATTGTGTGTGTGTGTGTGTGTGTGTGTGAGCTTGATTCGAGCTAAGCTGTTGAAATGCTTGGCATAACTTTTGCATTTTTGCTGTTTCACAAATTTCAAAGGCAGCCGAGGCAACATTTGTCGCCAGCGCCTGTTCTTGATTTTGTGTCGACCTTGTCGCGGACTTGTTCATGTTTCACTCACACACTCGTCTGTCTCTCTCACACTACCACACCTTCTCAACTGGCGACTGGCCATGTGTCGAGAGTCCGTGGAACAAGGATCAACAAGGGTCCTGGCAGCGTGCTCTCAATTTGTTGTTTTACATTTTGCAATACGTAGACATTTGCATTTTTAATGCTCATCATTTTGTCATTATATTTTTTTTGGCCCTAATTGACATCTCGAAATGAGTTGGGCTTGCACATTGCGTATACGCCACGTGCGCCCAATGAGCTGTGCGAACTTCAAAAGCATTTCGTTGCGAACCCTTTTAAAACTTTATTTAATAGTCACACTTAAAGCTAAGTTTAAACTCACTTTTTATCTCTATTTTACAGCAACTAGCAACATTTTGGCCAGCGCTCAATAGCTCCACCAATGTTGGGCAAATTCACATCGAACCATGTCCAGGTCTATCATCAATACTCGCGCACAGTCTCCGTAAAAAAGCCCGTCAAGGTGAGTCCGGCATATCCCAAATTGTATATATATCTATATATTTATTTAAGTCGTCTTGTTCTTGTTGCTGTTGTTGCTTTTGCATGGGTATTTCATGGTTCAACCCGAGTTTTTGTCTGTGCCGTTGCCTAAGTAAACACAATTAGCATAACATGCAGAAGGCCGTGCCCCTCAAGGCTTTTGTGATTTGCAGCGCGCTTTAAACAACATCTATTTCAGTTGGTTTGAAAAAAAAAGAAGAAACTATTCAACACTGGCAAACAGGGTTGCATTACAAATATATTGGAGTTTCAAACCTTGCACAAGTTATTTCCCCCAGCACGTTATGCGTGCCTGCATGCCAAATCAAATAGTTAATAAATATACCTTAATAATTCATTAAATATACATTTTTCTCTCTCGCCCACCCCCTTTACCCCCTACAACATCAACCAATACAGGCTGCTTAGCCTGCATGTTGTGCTCATTATTTAAGTAGCGAATTGCCAGGATTACGCTCTCTTCTACGCTCAACTCTCTCAGCCTCTCAGCCTCTCAGCCTCTTAGCCGCATCAGCAACAACCTGTTCATCGGCCAGTAACTACGTGAGAGCACGCGG